CAAGCCTAAGAAAAAGAGTTTCCAACATATAATAACACAGGGAATCTGCATCCATCAATCCTTCCTTAGGATCCATTAAAGAATGAATTATTATCTAATGAAATGATGACTGGATGAAACCATAAAACTCTTAGAAAAAAACATAGGCAAAAATCTCTTGGACATAAACATGAGCAACTTCTTCATGAACATATCTCCCCGGGCAGGGGAAACAAAGCAAAAATGCACAAGTGGGACTATATCAAGCTGAAAAGCTTCTCTACAGCAAAGGACATGATCAAAAGAACAAAAAGGCATCTTACAGTATGGGAGAATATATTCATAAATGACAGATCCGATAAAGGATTGACATCCAAAATATATAAAGAGCTCAGGCACCTCAACAAACAAAAAGCAAATAGTCCAATTAAAAAACGGGCAGAGAATCTGAACAGACACGTCTCCAAAGAAGAAATTCAGATGGCCAACAGGCACATGAAAAGATGCTCCACATCACTAATCATCAGAGAAATGCAAATTAAAACCACAATGAGATATCACCACACACCAGTTAGGATGGCCACCACACAAAAGACAAACAACAACAAATGTTGGTAAGGATGTGGAGAAAGGAGAACCCTTCTACACTGCTGGTGGGAATGTAAATTAGTTCAACTATTGTGGAAAGCAGTATGGAGGTTCCTCAAAAAGCTCAAAATAGAAATACCATTTGACCCAGGAATTCCACTCCTAGGAATTTACCCTAAGAAAGCCCAAGTTTGAAAAAGACAGGTGCACCCCTATGTTTATCGCAGCACTATTTAAAATAGCCAAGAAATGTTAGCAACCTAAGTGTCCATCAGTAGATGAATGGATAAAGAAGATGTGGTACATATACACAATTGAATATTATTCAGCCATAAGAAGAAAACAAATCCTGCCATTTGCAACAACATGGATGGAGCTAGAGGGTATTATGTTCAGTGAAATAAGGCAGGCAGAGAAAGACAAGTATCAAATGATTTCACTCATATGTGGAGTGTAACAACAAAGAAAAAAACTGAAGGAACAAAACAGCAGCAGACCCACAGAACCCAAGAATGGACTAACAGTTACCAAAGGGAAAGGGACTGGGGAGGATGGGTGGGAAGGGAGGGATAAGGGGGAAAAGGGGCATTACTACTAGCAGACATAATGTAGTGGGGGGGGGACGGGGAGGGCTGTACAACACAGAGAAGAAGAGTAGGGATTCTGCAGCATCTTACTGTGCTGATGGACAGTGACTGTAATGGGGTATGTGGGGGGGACTTGATGATGGGGGGAGTCTAGTAACCATAATGTTGCTCATGTAATTGTAGATTAATGACACCAAAAAATATAAATAAATAAAAAAATAAAATAAAAAGAAATGATGACTTGGAAAACTTTGGCAAACAGGCTGATGGTGAGTATTTAAATACATAAATTTAAAATATATAACTGTACCTCTAAGTTTAAAACAAAAGGTCAAAGACCAATGTACATATATATTATGACAGAAGAGAAACAAGACAACTGATTTATGGGAGGAGAGAGCAAGAAAGAAGGTAATGGAATGAGCTCATTGGTTATTGAGGACAACTATAATTTTCATGAAGTTGCATTCATACTAACCTAATTTAAACAGGTAACATTTCCATTAACATAGGGATAGTGTCAACTTCATTTTCATTTGGATTTGAATTTCCTAACTCAAATATCCCTGAGTGAGATAATGTTAGGTTAAGCTGTGGGGTTTTGGGGTAATTGTTACACAATGCAGATAACTAGGACATTGAGATACAATCTACATCAACTAAACAGACTGTATGGAAATTATTGGTTGCCATGGCAGGACATCCTAAAATGTACTAACTGGTTTTAATTAAATCGATATGTAATAAATTGCCGGAGACAGAATGTCTCAGGGCTTATAGAACCCTGCCTCGAAATCCAACATCGGTATATGCAGTGTTTACTCATCACTGTCTCCTAGGGAGAGAGCCACTAAATCTGGGTTACCAGAATAACTTGGCTGCATTCCCCATTGGGGAATAAAGATGATCCAGTTTGCCCATTTCTGGATTTAGGTGAATAGCCCCTTCCAAGCCATTGTACTCTTTGGATCTGTTTTATGCTCAGCAAACCACTCTGAAAAATAATCCAGCTTCTCTGGTGGAAGAAAGGTGGGGAATCCCTGGATGTGAGGTGGGAACATTTTGGTCTGTGCAGGCTGTCCTAGCCGCCTCAACCAAAGGCCATCAGAACTAACCCCAAGTCTAACAAAATCAGGTTTATTGGTTTATGGAAATGAACACTGCGTGTGTACCAGCAAAGCCCTGGGGCATTTCACCAAAGAAAGAAAGAGAGGGTTATGTGATTTGGGGGAGGGGAGTTTAGGTAAGATTTAAGTGTAGCAATGTTTGGATAGCTTCAAAGCAAACAGAGCTGCCTGTATAAGGGTCGGCTTTGGGTCTAAACTGCAAAGTGGACTCAGGGCCCCGCTGGAAATTCCCCAGTTAAGATAGCTGTGTAACATCTTGCCTAGAAAGCCTCTGTCTGGAGCCTGCATCTGGGCTGGAAATTGAGGCTACTTCCTGGCAAAGGTCAAATGTTTCATTCTTTACGGATTTGATTTCAAACAGCAAATTTCCTGACAGCTGCTGTTTTTGGAACAAGGTTCCTCATTAGAAAGCAGAAGTCACTCAAAAAGGGGTTTGTTATGGTGTTTTATAGTTGTAGCATGACCTTGGGAGAAACACCGTTTCAGTTAACCCAGCAGCTGGATTCGCCTGTCTGTTTTGCCAGCCAGATTCAGAGCAGCGTGAATCTTTCCTCTTGAAATACAGTGAGGGGAGAGAGAATTGCCTGAGTCTTTATTTTAAAAAATCACCAGCTACTTTGCAGAATGTAGTACACCATAGATGAATACAATAAAAATAATGGCTGTGTTTTAAAAAAAAAGCACAAAAAAAATCCCCCAGTCTTATGACTTCATTGCTCCCAGATACTTTTGGGTAAAATACACAATCCTTTCAAAAGTATCTATAAAAAAGTGACACCCATTTAAGATCCAGAGCATGATTTTAAACATAATTAAAATAGCATACAATGACCTGGGAAATGTGAGGTTGTTAGAAAAAGCATAAAACCTAAATGTGATTTATTCTCACCAGGAAATTTAAACATTTTAACACTAAGGTATTAACAAAGGGCCACATGGTGGAAAAGTATTAACAAAGGGCCACATAGTGGAAAATATGCCAGGAAGCTGCCCAGGCTGAGAGTGGGGGTGAGGGTGGGGGAAATTGGTAAGGGCCTGGCTATACCTGTTTGAGTTTTTTAAACCTACCAATGAAATTAAGACAAATTAAGAGAAGGCCCAATGTAGATATAATTGGCTTAGGCCATGTCTGGGAAAGAATGTGAACCCTACAATACTCAGTCAATGAGGAACCATGGGAGGGACTTACATACTAGGGAATAAATTACTTGGTGCCAATGGCCTCAGGTGTGCCTGCCCGCCAGACACACCTGATCTTGCAAGACCGTCATTAAAGCCTCGCTCTGCTGTTCTCTTTGTCTTTGTGTCTGCTTACTGAGTTTGGACCAGTGAGTGTGTTTCTCAAAAGGTGTAATAGGATAGAACAAATGCTTCTTCATTCCAGGAGAAAATAAGAAACTACTTTCATTTCTTTACAATAGAAGGTATGTCAGTATCTCACTGGGAAACAGAAATGTTAAATAAAGAAAAGTTGACCGCTGTACTAGGGACTGCCCAGAAGATTTCTAAGGTTTAAGTATTGAAGATTTCATTAACTCTGGGAGTCTCAAAAAGGCTACCTGTGAAAAAACTTAAAAGAAAAAAAAACCCATCTGTTAATTAAGTTAAAGGCTAAATCTGCATCCTCATTCCTGTTAAAGGATAAGCAGAATGCTTACCTCTCCCCTTAATTGCCTTCTGCCTCCAGATGCCTGCAGGATGTGAACTGTTTCCCGCTCTTTCCTTTGCATGATGTAGCTTCCTAAGTGAAATGTACCTCTCTGAAGGTCTGTCTCCTCCATAGAACCTTCATATGATTTGGGCTCTTTGGAACATGTCTCCTACCCTACCGGTAGGGGTTGTATCTTCCTGGTAGGTCCAAATTCTGGGTCAAATAAAACTCTTTATTTTCAAGGTGGTCTTAATGAATTTTTCATTGACAGACTCATTCTAGATACTTCAAGTAAAGAGGCATTTAATGCAAGGACTTAGCTACAAAGAGGTTGGCAGGGCTGGAAGAGCCAAAGATCCCAGAGGAAGGGGGTGGAGGGGAGCTCTGGGGTGGGGGGTTGGGGTTGGTGGGGTACAGGGAGGGTTGGAGCGCAAAACCTCCTACTGCCTGGCTGTTTGTCGGCCACAGGTCCATACCTGAGTTACTGTTCTTAAATTAAGGAATCGAAATAAAAATTTAAGTCACAATTTAATACTGAAAAATACATAAATAAGCTTCCCGGGTGGTGGTTCTGGGCTGGGACTTGGTATGGGATGGAGTGCCACCAGTGGGCAGGTTTTCTCCCTTGGCGATTAGCGAGAATGAGGGCCTACCTCCCAGGGTTGCTGCGTGGGTAAATCAGGTACAGCTAGTAAAGGGTAACACGGCCTGGCACCTAGTAAATTCTCCACTGATTTAAATAAAGGCCTTGCATCTGCTGGAAGCAGCTTCAGCCTGAGCCTGGGGCCATGCCGGGGCTGGTCACTCACCCAGTAACAAAGTGAGGCAAGGAAACTAGATAGATTTGTCTGGGTTCTTCTTAAATCCCAAAACACTGAGGGGAGGGAGAGGAGGCTGGAGTCAGACAGAGCTGGGTTTAGTACCCACTGAGCCTCCTATCTATTTCAGGGCCCCAGGAACCAGATGTAAGTACTAAATGGGATTTTTAAAAAATATGTAAGATACATAGCTTGTAGCAGGAGTTCAATTACAGTACCGCTGTAATTAAATAATTATAAATTATTAAAATACAGATAAATAAAATAATTATTTAATTAAAAATCTCTCTCAATGTCATAAAGTATTTGTGGCATCACGTACGGGGAAACATGTACCCGCGTATATGAGTTTGGTGAACTGATGTCCTCCACAGATCCTTCCGCAAACCTGGTACGGGCCGCACTTCTTGCCTGGATTCTGGGTGATTAGAAGTGATGTTCCCAGGTACGGCCACCAGGTGGCGCAGCGGTTCTTTGTCAGGATTGCAGCGAAAAATCGACAGGGTTGCGAGCCAGCAGCTCTGATAGAGTCAGTTCCTCCCCAGGGGGCCTGTGTGTGTAGGCGGGGAGGGGGGTGGCAAGAAGGCTAGGAAGCTGAGGCGCAGACGGAGAAAAAGACCTGAGTCAGTGAAAGGTATCCCCTGAGTCCTGGGGAGGGGCTCTGGCCCAAAGCCCTCAAATAATTCATCCACTCTTACCACAACCATTTTCCAGCACTTGCCATGAGCCACCAACCGGGCCATGTGTTGAAATCAGCCCCCTCAAGTAGCTCAGTCTTGCTGAGGAGACTGACACGAGGACAAATGGCTAATACTCAGTGTGAGAGAAGTAAGAGCACCATCTGCTAAAGAGCACTCATCTCTTTAACCCTATGGTGTGCCAGACACTTTACCATAATTATATCCCATTTTAGGATCAGGGAAACAAGGACTGAAGCTATGCCAGTGTATTTTAAGGCTGTGAGTGCTTTGCAAGTCATTACTCCTTCAGTAAAACAAGAGGAACAACCCTGCTCTTTAAAGCTCATGACTTTAGGTTAATCTCAGCAAGGGTCGACACTGGGGTAGCAGGGCACTTCCCGTATCTGGTGCCGCCCCCCACCTCCTGCTTACCGTTCACCCACCGGCCGTGGCATCCGGCTCGTCTCATCCACCACCCCACGGCCCGGCCTTTAGGTCCTTACGGCGGGCTCCTTCTAGACAGTGCCTGTGCACACATCCCACTGTTCACAGTGACCGGCTCTCCAGACGGCTCCAGTGCCCCCCCCTGCAGCCGTTGTTTGTTTTTCTGGGTCCCAGAGATCCCGCTGAGTTCTCTCAGACCCCAGAGCACTGAGGGAAGGGAGAGGAGGCTGGACTCGGACAGTGCTGGGTTTAGTACCGACTGGGCCTTCTTCCTGTTTCTGGGCTCCAGAAACCTCCCTCTCCTTCATTCCTTCCCCAGCTTAGTCCCCACGTGAAAACACCCTAAACTCCTGTCTCCCCCTCCTGCATGCACCGGCTTCTACCTGAATAAGCCTCGCCTTGCTCTGCTGCACCCAGGCAGCCCTGCAGAGAACCACGGGGAGGAGAGAGGGCGAGGAGAGGAGGAGAAGGTGGGCGGAACACACCTTAAGGAGGTTAAGGGTTGCTCATCCCAAGGCTTCAGAGTTCCCTGCGAAGCACATGTTTTCTTTTGTTTTGTTCCTGTTTTTGTTTTTTTGCTGAGAAGGTATAGACAAGTCCACCCAGCAAAGGGGAAGGAAGCTCTTTTGTGGAGGAAAGGGTGGAGTTAGGGGAGGCCCTGATAAACAAAAAGTCAAATATCCTGGCTTCTCATCGGGTGCATTATGACAGCTCTCATTGGCTGGGCTCTTGCTAGGGCAGAATAAAACCTTTCTTCCTCCAGCTGGGTAGTAAACGAGTAACTGAAGGACCGTGGACTTGCAAGGCCCGTCTCTTTTGGTTGGGTGCCTGCAGTTGACCTTGAGTGGTGGGGCATGAGTGCTCCCCCTTCCAGCCTGGGGACTCCATTTTAGAGAGATTTCCTTTACTGATTTTCACAATTATCAGCTGCAGAGATGAACCAGGGTGGTGCAGAGGTTTGCCCTGCGGTTCCATCAGAAAAAGGGGGATTTTGAGGATACTGGCTAAAGTGATGGGCAGAGTCCATAGGAAAACAATTAAGTCCCTGGGTTTAAAATTCTTTATCCCTGGGTTTAAAATTTAAATCACTGGGTCTAACATTAACCGAAAATGAATTCAAATAGCCCCCAAACCCTTGTAACCATTAAAAGGTGGCAGTTTCTTTTTGTTCTCCCTGTTTTCTGAGCCTTAGCATCAGAGATAACCCAGAAAGCTAATTTTGCAGAACCCAAGACATTCTGTCCCAGGGTACTGAGGAAGAACAGATAAGAACAAAGAGCAATTAAATCATATCCTTGCAAGTTGCTACTTTATGTGACTGTGCTCATGACCACCACAGCCTGTCCCCAAGCATTTCCCCTTTAAAAGCCCCAACTGCTTTGTGCTTATGAGGACAGTGGTTCTTTAAGGCACGAGCTTGCCATCCCCTCATTTGCTGGCAATTAATAAATAAACTATTTCGTTCATTTCCTCCAAACCTTGTCATTGTGTTTTGTGATTTGATTTCAGTGACAAAGACCAGTTTTCAGTAACATTACTAGATTACCTGGTTTAAAAAACCGATTACTTATTTTTACAAAACAGAAGCTTTCTGAGGACAGGACCTTGTGTTCCACTGTCATCCAACTGCATTGTCTTCTTGAGCAAGTGAGTCAGGTGGTGAGGTAAAGAACCTCAGGGCTCTGGCAGCAGGAGAAGGGGCTGCACAGAGAGAGACTGTGGCCAAGGGGGGTGTCTGAATGCACATTTTTGAGATGGGTCAGTTCTGGAGATGACCTGCTGGGGATGTGGAGACCTGAGGTGGATGGAGGCAGGGTGACCAATCCATCTGTTTGCCCAGAGCTTTGCTGACTTTACCATGGAAAGTCCTGTGTCCTGGGGAACCCCGAGTCCTGGATCCCCTGGGCTAGTGGTCACTCTTAGTGGAGGGCGGGACTCCTGCTGAGGAGCCAGAGTGCTGGTGGGCAGTCCAGGGAGGCTGCGGGGTCCATCAGTCCCATGGGTGTGTATATGTCATTTTTGCCACACTCTATGTGTGACCCCTTGGGCATATATATATATATATATATATTTTTTTTTTATTATCAGTGAAAGGGAGCTTTCTTGTATCCCTGAACTCTAGGAATCACAACTATGCTAAAAATGGCAAATACTTCCAAGAGTAGGAACACCGAAGCATGGCATCAGCATTTTCAAGTCTGCAAATTAAGCGCATTTTACTCAGAGCCTTAAAAATTGTAAAAAATCACCCAGCTAATTCTTTTCTTTCTATTGGACATTTAACTGCTGACTTACTGTAATAGCATCTATTTTCTTAGAAATCAAATGATGTTAATTGGTAGTATTACATGAAGAAACTATTTATAATATCATAATTTTATTTAACCAAGCATGAAAATCATATCAGAAATGACATAATCATTGGTTAAATAGACATATCTAGTTTTGAAAACAGATTTTACACTCCACATGCATTACATAGTACAGACAGACCGTAGCTGCATTACAATTCCAATTTTATAGTAAGTGACTATATAGCAATCAAATAAGCATCAATAAATTATTCTAGAGAGGTTTTATTTTCAGAACAGTACTTGATGGTTAAATTATTAAAAATGAAATGCAGACTTCCTGGGAAAATTGCAGAAATCATTTCAACCAAAAAATGGTTCCATAACAAATCTATACATACAAGGCACACTAAACAAATAACATCAGAATTGCACTCTTAATTTCAATATCATGGGTATGTACAATTACTGTAAATAAAAACATAAGGATCAGGACATAGCCCATTCACAGAAACAAAAGAGGAATTCTTTCCCAGAACAGTTAAAGGAAGAGCATTGAAAATATAGTTCTTTGCTATAAACATCAGTGGAGAATCATCATGTACAAATTTGGCTATTTATGTACACCCATAGCTTACCATGTTTATATGCCAGAAACTTGAAGATATCTTCCCCTTCTAAGTGTCTACATAAAACCTATACAGCAGATTTGAATTCCTATTATTTGTATTCAATGATAAACTGAATACATTTAGAAAATTTTTAAGGAAATCTTATATCTCTTCCAGAAATGCATATATTAATGGTTAACCAAAAAAATTAAGGGGTTGTCTGTTCTGCTAGGTTTTGGCACATTAGCTCAGCTCTTCATTACTAGGGACCAACAAGAAAGCATAAATAAATACAAGCCTTAAGTTTTGTTTACATTAAACTTTTTACTCTGAGGTAATTGTAGATTTCGAGATAATTGCAGGTAACTGTAGATTCATATGCAGTTGTTAAGAAACAATACAAAAAGATCCTGTCCGCCACTTACTCAGTTTCCTCCAATGGTAACATCTTGAAAAACTATATTAACAATATCACAACCAGGGTTTTGACACTAAGACAGTCAAGATAGGGAACATTTCCAGCAGCACAAGGATCCCTTGTATTTAATAGTCACACCCACCTCTGTCTGTCCTTCATTCTCCTTCTTGGCAACCCTTAATCTTTTCTCCATTTCTAGAATTTTTGCATTTCAAAGTGTTAAGAAAATGGAATTATGCAGTGTATAATTTTTTGGAATTGGCTTTTTCACTCAGCAGAATTCTCTGGAGACTCATCCCCGCTGTTACTTATATCAGAAATGATTTTTATTGCTGTTTCCTTGGTATGGAGGTAGCACATTTGTTTCACCAGCTACCCATTAAAGGATACCTGGTTGTTTACAACTTTGGAATGTTATGAATAAAGCTGCTATGAACACTCGTGGATATGTTTCTGTGTGACATAAGTTTTCATCTCTCTGGGATAAATGCCCAGGAGTGCAATCACTGAGTGGTATGGCTGTGCATGCTTAGTTTTATTAGGAACTGCCAAATATTTTTCCAAAGTGACTGTTTCATTTTACATTCCCACCAGCTATATATGACTGATACAATTGCTCTGCATCCTTGCCAAGAGTCAGTGTTACTTAATTTTGGTAGGTGCATAGTGGCATCTCATTGTGGTTTTAATTTGCATTTCCCTAATGACTAATGATAGAGAGTATTTTCATGTGCTTACTTGCTATTTATATATTCTCTTCAGTGAAATGTTTGTTCGTGTTCTCCATTTTCTAATTGGATTTTTAAAGAAACTGCTGAATTTGAGAGTTCTCCATATATTCTAAACACTAATCGTTTGTTGGATATGTGGTTTGCAAATATTTTCTTCCAGTATGTAGCCTCTCTTTTCATTCTCTTAACATGGTCTTTTGCAAAGCAAAAGTTTAAGGTTTTGACGAAGTATAATTTATCAAACTTTCCTTTTAAGGACTGTGCTTTTGGTGTCAAGACTAAGAAAGAATTCCTTGCTTAGCCCTATGTACTAATGATTTTCTACTTTTAAAAAAACGTTCTATAGTTTTGTGTTCCATGTTTAGGGTTATGATCTATTTTGAGTTAATTTTTCTATAAGGTATGAGGTTTAGTTTGAGGTTCTTTTTATTTGCCTATGGATATTCAATGGTACATTTATTGAAAAGACTCTCCTCCCTCCATTGAATTACTTTTGTACTTTCATAAAAGGTCAATTGAGCATATTTGTATGGGTCTATTTCTTGATTCTTTATTCTATTCCATTAACTATGTGTCTATGTCTATGACTCCACCAATACCCCACTCACTTGATTACTGTAGCTACATAATAAATCTTTATATTGGGTTGGTAGAGTGATTCCTCCTACTTATTCTTTTATAAGATTGTATTAGCATTCCAACTCTTGTGCCTTGGAACTTTTAGAATAAGTTTGAATATATCTATAAACACCTTGCTGGGATTTTGATAGAAATTTCATTCAACCTATACATGAATCTGGGGAGAATTAACATCTTTATTATTTTGAGTCTTCCAATTCATGAACATGGTATGTCTCTTCATTTATTTAGGTCATTGATTTCTTTCATTAGCATCTTTCAATTTTCAGCATATAGAGCCTGTACCTGTTTTGTTAAACTTATATCTAAGTATTTATTTTCTTTGGAGTGATTGTAAATGGTATTGTGGTTTTAATTTTGGTTTCCATCTTACTCATTGTTAACATATAGAAATTTAGTTAAATTTTGTTTCCTGATTTCATATCCTGAGAACTGCTTAACTTACTAGTTCTAGGAGTTTTGTTTTCTTAAAAAAAAAAAAAGATTCTTTGGAATATTCTATGTAGACAATCATGTCATCTATAAAAGGATACTTTTTTTCTATCTTTCTAATTGTATGCATTTATTTCTTTTTCTTGCCTTAACACTGTGTCTAGAACTTCAAGTACAGCTTTAAAACTTTTAATCAATGTAAAATTTTAGAGATTTACTCAAACTTACTGGCCTGAATGAGGCCCATCATTCTCAAACAGAAGAATTTTCAACATGCTTCTTACCATCGCACCTGCCCAGATTTCATTTTCTGCAGTTTGGATAAATAATCAACAGCCTTCAAATGTGGTTATAAATGGAACCCACACTGCAAAGCCCCTTTAAGTAGTGAAAGTCCCTTTAATGAGCTAAGTGGAACCTGATTTTTAAGAAAACTTAGCATAGAAACATTATCCATATGGCAGGACCAGGAGGCAACAATGCTCAGATAGTCAAAGTTTGAAGCTGACTTATGGAATATATGCTTCATTCTTCCAGTTTCCCCTCTTATCTCAAAAGTGGAGGTAACAATAATTTTAAACTCTGAAAGTATGAAATACCCTCAAAGTCACCTTATTCTTGGATAATAGAAATCGCTATATTATTGGGAACTTTTCTGAGAATTTTAATAAGTGAAGAATTCTGTGCATCTTACTGTTTTTAGTAACAGGCACTTAATATTTTGACAATTCAAACTCTCTTCATGTCTTAATTTTTTAAACAAAAGTGTAACCATTCATACACTTTTATTTAAAAATACATATTTCCTATATATAGTGTTGTGTTTTTATATTATACAACATACCTAACCCACTGAAAAAGGTTTATAGCCATTATAGAAAGACAGAAAACGGTACTGCTAGAGCTTTATAGAGTCCGATAGATGAGATCTTAGATGTATACACATAGGTCCTTGTAGGTGTCAGGTGTGTACACAGTTGCAAGGTAGTTTCTTGCAAACACCAGGAGCTCCTGCATATAATTTGTAGAAAATTTTAAATCTGTACTAAGAATCAAATTTCAGAGGCCAAAAAAAAAAAAAAAAGGTAGAAAGCAGTAACCAATCAAATATGGCAGGTTAGGTATGATTTTACCGATCTTGCTGATTCAATGACTACCTGTACATTTGAGTAACTCTTTTGTCTTGTCATTAAGATTGAGCATCATCCAGTGACCACTTCATCCATTGTGCACTCTGTGTTCTGGGGTCAGATGCTGGGACATTGACTTAGCCTCAGTCTTCTCATCTATGGGTGGACAAGATGATATGCATCTCACTGATGGTGAGGTTTAAAAATGAGATGCCCCGACCAGGGCCTGGCCCAGGGAACGTGCCTTCTGTTACTGACTTGTTTTCTTCCTTCTCTTGTACATACATTGCCTTTGTGCCTTCCCGGGTTCATCCTCCCTCCTCTTCTCTCTATACACCACAGAAGAAGGTGCCACTTCTTTTGGATGCCCCCTCAGGCCTAAGAGAAGCGTTAGTGGTGAGGATCTGGGGAGACTGATGCCGAAGCTGCTCCTCCTTGTCAACATCGCCCATGGCCTGCTTACATAGAGTAGGACTGTGCATGAAACTCTATCATGATACAGTGGGGAGAAAGCTTTATAAGTGACAGATACATTCTAGCAAATGTGACTTAATAATCCATCTGCAATCCAGTTGTGTGATGAGTAACCCACAGACAAAGAGTCCTGCACCCCGGCCCTAGACATAAGACTGCGGCTGTGTGATGCAGACTTAGGTCCTCCGGGGCTGCAATGATCTTAGGCCCCAAGACACTGCCTTTGGCACAGCAAGAACAAAACACTCTCACAATACAAAGAAATAACACTGTGCATACAGGCATAATTTTTCTCTTGTCTTAAAGTATGGGACACCTACTGTCTCAGCATGTCACTTTGACAACCAACAATGATTCCCAAGTAGGTGAATCTGGATGGAACACAACATAAACAAAGACTATAGGTGGGAAGTACCTGGGTGAAGTAGAGATTTGCAAATAACCACTTTAATCTCCAGTCTAGCATGGGGTTCACTGGTCAACCTTTCTTATTCTGCTATAAGTGACAGGGCCACTATGAACCCTTCAACAAAGAGAGAGCAGTCATTTGCTGTCTGACAGCATCACTTGAAAGGTTTTCATTTTATATAAACACCAAGACTTTCCTCTTACTCCATCAGGCCTTTCTTGGAACCGCTTTGAAGTATTCCTCCCTTGAAATGTCGGATACCCCTCCATACCACTTCTGAAGCCAGATATGTTGTATTCGCATTGTCATAAAGAACCATTCATACTGACGAGGCCACTTCCTCATAACTGGGTGTCTGCAGAAACAAAGGAGAGGTCATGATAAAGCTGTTCTTATCAGAGTCTGGGCCCTCCCAGAGCACAGGTCCAGACTCTATGCATCCTGGTCCAATCATATGGCCCTCCAGACTCCAGGCCTCACTGGGGCTGAGACCTGCTTAAGCCAGCCAGAGGCAGAAGCCAGGCAGCCAGGGATGGGGATGGGCATCTGTGTCCCCACGGAGGGGCAAACAGGCTCCTTGGTACGAATCCTGGTTTGATGCCTCCCAGGCCACTTGCACTCTCAGCCCTGGTCTCCCCATGATGGTGTCAGATCACGGGGCTGGGTAGGGCACAAACAAATAGGTACACATCAAGCACCTGCCCAGGGTGAGTGCTCGGTGAACGCCAGCCACGGGTATCAGGAAGTGTGAAGAAAGGCGTTCATGCATCTCTGTATGAAATGTTCCAAGAATTGTGAGCCTTTGAAACAAATCTGTTCATGGGAATTCAGATTGCCATTCCTGCAGCAGGCTTAGAACTATGGGGCCAGGCTGAGAAGCAGCCAGAGTGGACAGGGAGCGCCACATTCCCTTCTATTTCCCGCCTTGCTTTCCCCTCGTGGGTAGCCCTCAACACATGCATTGTTCCTAAGGGCAGAGGCTGTGGCTCACTTTTTTTAAACATCATAAAAGTAAAAATTTTATTTATATCTAAACATGTTATAAACAAAATTCAAAGACCAAGTGCAAACTGGGAAAAACACTTTCAACAAAGCAGATGCAATAATAGGTTGATGGTACTTCATAACAAATTTTATCTTGAAATAATCATAAGCTTACAGAGAAGTTGAAAGTACAGTATAAATAACTATTTTTTTTCCTAAACTATCTGAAGGTAAGTTGCTGATCTGAGGCCCCAATGCTTCAAATACTCATGTGGCCAAGATAATAAAATGATTGTTGTGATTTTAAGCAAGATAGTTTTGTATCGATAACCAGAACAAATTTTGGCACCTGCAAATGGGGGGCAGGTGTAAGAAATGCACTCAGCGGGGCTCTGGTTTTGGGTCCAGCAGTGAGTTGAAGGTAGAAGGACCTTGAGGAGACTGACCGTGAGGGCTTAAGAGAAGCTGAAGCCAGAGGTAAAGGCACCTGTGATGTAGCTTTGGAAAATTTGGCAACACTGTTACCTGCAGTAATGTGGAAAATCGGAAATGAACTTAATGAACCCAGTGGTCTAACTAAGATGTTGGCCTCATCTCACTGACTGTAATAACTGTAAGAAGAGAGATGGAAACTAACAAATGCTAGCTGAGTTTGAAAATGAAGCATGCACACACACCTATGGTTATTTTCTCTATCGATGTGTTGAAAACCATGATTTCATGTTGCTATTTCCAATCTCAATTCAATCCCAGAGGTCATCCTAGTTTTCTCTCTTTGTGCATCTGTAACTCTTTTCATGGCAATGAGAAACCAGGCTCCCCTTCTCTTTACTGAATTCACTTATATGATGATTCTCCCATGTGTAAAATCTCCCCATCTCTGTGGGGATGTGGATGGATCAGTTAACTTACCACCTACTTTCACATTACTCTTCCACTAATTTCGACAAGCAATTAATCTGCCTGTTCTAATAGCCCACAATCCTGCCTGGATACCTGCCGCTCCTTACCCCAGCTCTGACCTTTTACTCCAGCCACCCCCTGCCTGGATAGTCTGCTCACCCGCAGACTCTGACACCCCTGAAAACCACCCTTTCTATGCACACACCCTGCTTACTTTGCTCTGCCCCCTGCCCCCCATTGTGTTCCCTACACCAGTGAATTTCTTAACTTCAACATGCATGCTAATTTCCAGGGACATGCTTTAAAAATTTAGATGGAGTCTCATCCCCAGAGAATCCAATCTGGTAAGCAGGCCGAGGGGGGGGCGCCCAGAGAGCCAAATCTGAGCAAGCCCCCTGAAGGGTTCAGATGTAGGCAGTGAGAGGAAACCCTGAGAAACACTACTCCCTCCCTTTGGCACAGTGCTTTGCTTAGAGTGGACATTAGAAAATGTTTGCCGTGTTGACAGCAAAGCCTCAGGGACTTCCGTTTCAAGGCAGGGCCCTGGAAAAGGTTGGCAGGTGGAAGGAACAGTCCCTGGAACCCCTTGATGTGAGGTGCTCTCAAGAGGCAGGGTTAGCCCCCTGCAAAGCCCTTTACCCGGCCGTTGCTACCACCTCGAGCAGCCGAGGCGGCCAGCGGGAGGTTGGCGGTGGGCCACCAGAGGCAGTTCAGTTACTGTCGCCTCCACAGAGGCTCAAATGGCACAGCTTGGACCTTTATTTTTGTTACTGTATTTTTCTGGGCAAACCAAGATTTATATATATATATTTTATTAAGGTATCATTGATATATGATCTTATGAAGGTGTCACATGAGCAACATTGTGGTTACTACATTCACCCTTCCAAGATTTATATTTAAAGCATATACACACCTTGAAAACATGGCTTGCTTGGCAAATTCCACTTCTTCTGGAGACACGGTGATCATCTGGCCAGTGAGTATCAACCGGGCACATCGGGGATCTTCTGGGTCAACGATATTTTTTCTGCATTTGAGGAACATTTTTCACACATTAAAATGATGATAGAACATCAGCCTGAAATACTAAGGATTTTATTAAAAACAAAAGACCGTAGTCACATTCCTGGTTACATCATTCAGGTTTTCACATGGCCTGTAATTTCTTTTAAATACTCTGGCTTGGGCAGTGGAAGAGGTGTGCGTAAGTCCGATGTCAGTCTGCATCCTTGGGACAGCAGATAACATCTGAAGAGCTCTAGCCCAGTCTGCACACACTAGGACCAGCCTCTGCAAGAGCCCAGTTGGGAGCTGCTGTCCAGAATCCTGTTGCTGCTCTGTTGTGCATCTGTAACTCTTTTCATGACAATGAGGGGGGGGCACCACAATTCACTGAAAGACACTATGAATGGCACTCCTGGATTCAGACAATGCATCTGCCTGGATCCGGCGGTGACCGAGGGAAAGATTCTAAGTATCACTATCAAATTGAGCAAGTTCCTTACTCAGCATAAAGGATGTTAGAAATAACAGGAACAGTGGTGTCACTGTATTGGTGACTGCTTGCTAGTAAGTGTTTCAATGGTGGCAGAATTCTTCCAAGACTTGTTTTCATTGTAAGAAAGCAGTGAGGGTGTGGGGAAGGCCAATGAAAGTTCTCCCTTACTTCTAATCATGTGAGGCTACCTATTTCTGGAAGAGATATAAAGAGGAGAATCTGCTTTTCCAAATGTTCAGATAGTGGCTTCACCTCAAACCCTGGGAGAAAACTGGTCACAGCTGGTGCCTTATGCATTTTGCAAGCTCTCTCCATGACTGTCTGAGAGGTGGTTTAAAGATGGGGTAACCTACAGTCATACAATGTTTATGCCTTCATATAATGGTTTTGGTATTCCTAAGATGCTTCTGGGTCTATTCTGTTATTCGCTGCTGTAATAAGATTTGTTCACTTTTACACCAAGTGAGGTTGTACATCGCCTCATTTTGTTTGATCTTCATGGCAACCCTAGGAGATGGGTGCGGTTATCAATTCATTTTAGGGCTAAGGAAAATGAAACGCAGGTGGGCTCAGTGCCTGGCCTGGGGCCACGGCACTCGCAGGGCTGGTCTCAAGCAAGAAGGTAGGCGCCCCTCAACCTGCCCCTTGCTTCTTGGCACGTCTCAGACTTACCCTCTCCTCAAAGTTCATGGCTTCCCTCTCTTATTATCTAATTGTGGATTTTTTAATATCATGCTAGAACATTTTATCAAAAGTGCACCTTAGAGTGAAAAAAATGCTAGCGCATTAGGGAAAAAAGTGCACGCAAAGATACTTGTTACAGCACTGTTTATGATGGTAAGAATTAGAAGTAAGCAAATGCTTAGCAGTGGGGAAACACAAATAAGATCAATTTTATAAAAACTATGGAATACAAACTTAAAAATAAATGAGATGCAGCTGAAGGTGTCCATGACAAAGATGTATGTAAAAATAACCCAATTAATGAATGAGCCAAAGACCTTAACTGACACCTTACCAAAGAAGATATACAGGTGGCAAATAAGCACATGAAAAGATGCTCAACACTGTATGTCAGCAAGGAAATACATGTTGAAACAACAAGATACCACTTACACCTGTTAGAATGGCCCAAATCCAGAACACTGACATAACCAAATGCTGACAAGGAGTAACTCTCATTCATTGTTGGTGGGAATGCAAAATGGGTCAGCCACTTTGGAAGACCACTGTCACTTTCTTACAAAGCTAAACATACTCTTATCATATGATCCAGCAATTGTGTTCCTTGGTACTTACCCAGAAGAGATGAAAATGTGTATCCACATAAAAACATGCACATAGATGTTTACAGCAATTTTATTAATAATGGCCAAACTTTGAAAGCAACCAAGACATTCCTCAGTAGGTGAATGGATAAAAAAACTGTGGTACATCCAGACAATGAAATTTTACTCAGTGCTATAAAGAAGTAAGCTGTCAAGCCATGGAAAGACATTAGGGAACTTGAATGCCTATTTATTTAGTCAGTGAAAGACACCAGTCTGAGAAGGCTACATAATGTATGAGTCCAGCTATATGACATTCTGGAAAAGACAAAATTATGGGGACAGTAAAACATTAGTGTTTTCCAGGAATTTGGGGTGGGGGATAGAGCTGGGAGAGATGAACAGGCAGAGCAAAGGGGACTTTTAGGACAGTGAAAAACTGTATGATATTATAAGACAGATATATATCATTATACATTTGTCCAAACCCATTGAATGCACAGCACCATGAGCAAACCCTTAGGGAACGACAGACTTTGGGTGACCATGATATGTCAATGCAGGCTCACCCTTGGTTACAAAGAAGTACCTCTCTGGTGAGTGACGTTCATAATAGGGGAGCCATCCTAATGAGTGTGAATTGGTACCACACTGTAGTTTTCATTTGCATTTCCCAGATGGCTAATGAATTGAACACCTTTTCATGTGCTTATTAGCTACTTGCATATCTTTCAGACAAAAGTCTATCCAAATCCTTTGCCCATTTTTTAATTGGATTGTCTTTTTATTGTTGTTATAAGAGTTCTTTATATACATTATATATATTTATACAAACGCCTTGCCAGTATGTGATTTAAAAATATTTCTTATGGGTTTTCACTTTCTTGATGGTGTTCTTTGATGCAAAGAAATTTAAATTTTATCAAGCCCAAATTACCTATTTTTCTTTTGTTTCCATTTATGATGTTTTAAAACCTCCTGGCAACCTAAGGCAAAGGATCCTTACCAAAATCCTATAATCTGTTACATTTGATAGAATAATGCAAACATGTCCATATCACTAGACATTGTAGCTTTCTTTGTAGTATGGTAAGAAATAGGAATATGTATAAAGATTGGGAAACAATAAACCAAGTTATAGTCATCTGAAAATTAAATGGCTGTATACAAAGGAAATGAATCCACACCCAGAACATTAGTATTAGGAAGAAAGCTTAGCAAGACGGCTGAATTCATGAACAAGAATTGTAAAACAATTGTATTCCTACTTATCAGCAAAAACTATTTTTAAAAAGTACATTTTTTTAGTGATGTAATTTAAGATGGTAACAAAACCTATAAAAAATGCCTGAAGATAAATTTAACAAAAAAAGTGTAATACCTTGTTGGAAAAAATTTCAAAACTTTTATCAAAGTACATAAATGGCCTAAAGAAAGGGAGATTTATACACATGAATGGGAAAACTGAATCTAATGGAGAATGAACCTATATGGACAATGCAATTTCAATTAAAATTCTGATATATTTTTTAATAGAACTAAACAAGCCAAATCTAAACTTAATATGGACTAAGAAAGTGTGAGAAGAGTCAAAACCATTATAAAGGAGAAAACAAAGTGGGAAGCTTTCTGTACCAGGTGGCAAGTCTTAACATAAACAATGCAGTCATATTGGTGCAAAGATAGACCAAGGGAACGGACTATAAAGCCTCGGAACAGGCCCAAGCCTATGTGATACTTGACATATGACAGGGTTAGAAATTAGCAACGAAAGTTCTGATTACCCAATAAATGGTGCTAAAAAAATGGTTATCTGTATGGGAAAAATCTAAAAAGAGATCTCTATGTCATACCACATACAAATAAATTCTCAGTTGAATTAATGGTTTAAATGTCTAACACAAAGATCTAATACTTATAGGATAAAATACAGGAAAATGTTTTTATGACCAGGTCAGAAAGAATTTCTTAAGCAAGACACAAAGTGTATAAACCATAAAGGTAGATGAATTTGATTTAACTAAAATGAAAGCTTTAACAAAAGATTTCATGAGTCAGGTGTTGTTTGATGTCTATTAATTTCCACCACGATTCTTATTCTATCAGTGAGTACGGTGGGCAGAATTGCTAGATGGCCCCCATCGTCTCCGCCCCTAGTGCTGCACCCTGTGCAACTCCTTCTCCTTGAGTGGGGGCAGGGGCTGGGACTTGCTTCTCACCAGTGGATTACGGCAAGGGTGATGGGAATGTGGATCCCATGTCTGTAAGATGTTATGTAAGACTCTTCTGCTGGCCTGGAAGAAGTAAGCTTTATGATGGATGGTCTCCAACAGCAGTGGAGAGAAGGAAGCAGGAGACATCTCACATTTCCATTTTGCTTGAGGCCAGTTATAGTTAGGAGAAAGGGGAATAAAGTCTTCTTTCCTTGTGTGTTTTGCACAGTTTGTAAAATTAAGCATTCTGACCTACAGACACTCATAAGCGTGGAAGGACGTGAAAGGCATATAAGTGGTGATTAAGAGTATGGGCTCTTGGTCAGCCTCCTAGATTTGAATCCCGACTGTGACTCAACTTCTCTGAGTCTTAGTTTTATCATATGTAAAGAGAAGATGCAAATAGTTCCTTCCTCAGTGTTGCTATGAGATGCTGGTGGGGGCAGGGTGAGGCTTACCGCTCCTGCTGATGAGGGCTCCCCTAGGTAACCCTCCTGACTTGTACCACTACTCAGACATAAATTAATCAGTATATTTGGAAGAAGGCACTGGACATGTATAGTTTAATCTCATCTCCCTGAAGGAAGGACATGTTCTATTTTACTCCTCTGCCATCAATTAAAGAGGCCTCCCACAACTCTGGAGGCCTAGGGCTCAGTGCTGCCTGGGACCTGCTGCACGTCTGTCCAGTTCTGGAGGTGCCCACACTCTCCATGTTGGCTTTCTCTGTGTGAAGGTGATATTGTGCTATTCCCTCTGCTTTAATGTTTTATTTCTAACTGGTTTTAGATCTGGCAAATTATGGCCAGCTGGCCAAATGTGACCTGCCTCCACTTTTCATGCAGCCCCAGATGTCAGGATAGAGTTGACATTTTTAACTGGCTGAGAAAAATCAAAAGAAGAATACTTTATGACACATGAACATCATACAAAATTCAAATTTCAGTGTGCTTAGATAAAGATGCACTGGAACACAGATTCATTTGTTTCCAGATTACCCGTGGCTGCTTTCGTACCACAATGGCAGAGTTGAATGGTTGTGACAGAA